GGACGAAATACTGACATTTAATTATTATTATTATTTATTTATTTTTTATTTTATTTATTATTTTTTTGTTTACATGAACGAACAAAATTAGGAGTAAAAGACCTTAGAATATATATATATATATATATGTATGTATGTGTGTGTGTGTGTGTGTGTGTGTGTGCGTATAACTGGGAAGGACAAGAAGAATGGTAACTATACCTGTTAGAGTTATAATATATATAAAAAAAACACAAATATTTTAGTCTTGTACTGTTATTTTTGGTTTCAAAAATTAAAGAGTTGTGATTTAGACTTTGCTACAAAATTAAATTTTTTTATATAAAACACTTATTTGGAAATCTTGGATTGTTAAAACTAGAAAACAGTTGATAAATAAAAAGACGTGAAAAATGTAATTAAAAGCATACATAATATCCTGATTCCAATGGGGAATATTTTGTCATCATTAAAATAACAGAATTTTGAGATTATCAAGCAAATAAATCTTATACACAACTTAACGTAATAACCCGAGAAAACTATTAGTATAAAATATTTAGGTCTTTGAATAGAAAGTACACTTTTACTGGTATAATTTTCATAAAGAAATAATAATGTAAAAAATGTCATAAAATATGTGGATTCCAACAGTAAGTGTAGTAAGACCAATCTAGTAGGTGCTAAAATAGTCCACTAAGCTTATCATAGGTATCTGCTGAAAAAATTTGTGGGAAGGGGACAGTTAGCCATCATTTCCTAAACTAATGAGCCTCACATATTACAAATAATTGCAACTAAAAGCTTGGGTGAATCAGAAATATTTACCACAGGTTTGACAAACTATATGTGTATAAGTCCATGTGCAATAATTATTCCACGATATTCTGTATAAATCAGCAATTCTTGTCTTTTGGCTTTGAATCTTTTTTGCTTAATCACTGTCTCTTATTGTCCTGTTCACCCTACTCTCTCTTCTTTATGTATTAAGAGTAACAATATTAATAATTCATAAATATGAAAGAGCACAATATATTTTAATTTGTATATTTGTATTAATAGTATTTTACTAGATGTAATTCCTAGTTCTTATGTTACTTCCAAAATCTCTGCCTCCTTTGCCTGGTGAGCAAAATCCTTTAAATTCTTATTGATTTTCTAAGACATTTTGGAAATGTGAATTGAGAGTGAATTCATACTTTCAGGACTTTATAGTTAATGTTAACAATTATTTTTAAGTTCAAAATATTTATGGAAAAGGAAAATCACAAATTATAGAAAATTATTCAGATTTTCAGTCATGGCATAACGGCTCTGAATGTTTTTTGTTTTTTTTCAAGTACAAACTTTTAGCTCATAGCTCTGTCATCTATTGACCGATTTGAGATCTAATTACAGTTTTGGATTTTGGAGGTCAAACCCTTTCTATTGTTGTATTTGACCACACCCAAGGTATTGTAGATTAATTTACTTTAATTCTGCCTGAATAAATTTCAATTTGAGAGTAAGTGTAGAGATCCTTATAAGTAATAAAATTGAATTGGGTATACAAGTGCCCCAGGCTTGGTATTGCTGGCACACAAAAATATAGCTAATAAAAAGGAAACAAAGGTCTCTAATCCTGCTTAAAAGAATTTCAAGTGCCATGGCTATTGAGGATTCCATCTTGTTTTTATTGTATAAACTTTCCTTAAGTTTCATTTAATTGAATATGTTATGGTTGCTTGTTTCATCCTTGTCCAAAAATTGATGGTTTCTTCTCCTAAATCTGAGTAATTTTTGTAGGTAAAGCAAACAAGTTATTTGTATGTCCAATTTTTAATGTATAAAATTGTATTTTATTATTAATAAAGGGTGCACTTTTAGACATAAATAGTCTTCTCAGTGATAATGCTAAAAACCCTGCCTCCAGTGGCTCAGTAGTGAGTGTGAAAACTTAAATGCTAAAAGCCAATTTTTGATCCTCCTTGTATAGTTTGTGCTTAACAACAAACAAACAAAAAGAAATCTAAAACCCCTTAGAACACAAATATTTTCAGATCTAGGAGCCAGCACAAAAACTAGGAGCTAGGTGTGCTTAACCTAATTTCACTACTGTTTGTACAGGGAAATGGAGGCTACACTAGTACCTCGATTATCTGCATTTTTTCTTTTCTCCAAATATTCTCAAACTAATAGTGCCCTGACAATTCTAGACAGTAATTTACATGTTTTGGAGAAATTGTTACTCTGGTGTGTGTTCAAATTGTAAGTTGACTGGTTCAAGCCTAGCCTTGCCTCTTTTATTTTTAGCTGTTAATGTCAGGAATATAAAATATTTGTAACTTGGTTAACTTTAGTTTATTAGTGGTTAAAAATATAGTATACATAAACACAAAGAATACACATTACGATTTCTTAAAGATTTCACTCGTCTTCAGTTGTCATCTGCTGTTCTGTGCTGCACGATGGGCATCCTTTAACCACAGATGCCTGTTCAGGTTGTGTTGTGGTTTTGCCCAGTTATGCATTGGCCTCTTCCCTACAGATAATTGGTATCTTCAGTTAGTTTTAACAAAGGCTTTTTCATAATAATTCCCAAGCATAGATTTGCCCTAATTTTTTACTTATTTCTCACAAGCATTGATAGGGTGGGATGAACTTCCATGTTTATAGCAGAAAAAGTTTTCACAACGTTTCAATCGCCAATTATAGTAGCAATTAAATTCAACTAAAATGGTAACAGGCAATCAAAAGAGCAAGTATTATAGGAGAAAAAGTGGAATTGGGCTCATGTAACTCAAAAATATAGAGAAATCAAGCATCGCTGACTGATACTTGGCTTTTATGATTGTGATGACTTTTATAATCTTTCATGATAATGTGATTAAACGATAGTAAAAAGATTATAATTTTAAACAAGGAACTTAAATATATTGAAAATTTTTATTTAGATTAAACAGTGGGCTAATTAGTGAGACATGCTAGTGCCTCTATTAATAGCAACGAGTATATGCTAATGATCAGATGATATCAGCAACCACTTGATAGTATTGCCTGAACTAACTGCCTTTGGTCCTGTCCGAGTCTAAACACACACACTGATTGGTTGACTTGAGAGAAAGAAGAAAAGCAAAATGGCCTGAAATTAGTAATGTGTTGTGCAACTGCAGTGCTTCATTTCTGAAAAAACAGTAAGAAGTGCTGAAGCTGCCATTAAAATCTTAAAGTTCAATTTAGGACTCAAAGAACTCAAATAGTTCCAGATTTCCAAGAGTCCAGAACTGTTCTAGATTTGAGTTCTATTTAGCACAGCTCCACACATGAATAAAATGAAAAAAACACACTAAGCACTATGATGAAATTTTTAGTGTCTATGGCAACCTGGTGCCCAGGATTTGTTGAGGCCTGCTGTAGAATATGTAAAATGAAGAAAAAGAATAACAATTTTGTGCTAGTTTTGCTATTTCATTAATGCAATCCCTTCAGTTTATGTTTGAATAATTTTATATAATGCCTTAAAAATTAATTTTTCAACAACGTATTTTAAGTTAATTAAATGATGGGAATTGCTTTCCCACATTTTTTGTTTGTTAGATTTATTATACAAGGTATTTAGCCAGCCTTTAAATAATTTGTATATAAATATACACAATCTTTTAAAATATACGGAGCAGAAGTACATGAAATCCCTTAAATGCTAGAAGAGATTCGTTACATGGCTTATGATGTTTCTAAAAAGCTTGTTTTGTTAAAAACTATTGAGATTCACTCCTAGTACTTTAAGCTCAAATACTTTCATTTACAGTTTATCAAAATAATTTATAACATATTTTTAGATAACGCTCTACAACATGAGCAGCAGTGATTATTAAACTTTTATGTAGTGATGCCGTCATGTGGATGTGTTCAAAATGTTATGGTACAAAAAATTAAGTGAAGTGGTATATTCTTCACAAAAATCAATCTGTCAAAACAAAAAAGGTACTTCAGTAACTTCATAGAACTTTTCAACTTGTTTTAGCACAAACAACTAGTAACAACACTTGGCAGCTTTATTTGGATTTCAGTACAAACATAGTAATGACATATGCAAGTTACTTAAAACTTGGTTGTTCATTTTTGTGCACAATACTTCAAATCATAGATCTGTGCAAGGATCCTTGTAACTTCACTATTGAAATTTTTACTTCAGATACTTTAAGATCTCCAGTAGATCTTTTCCAGTTGTTGATAATGTTATTCAAGCACTTCTTAAGTTAAATATTTGGCTGACTTACAGGAAACACACATAGTTTCACTCAAACTTTATTTACACAGATTCATATGGAGATAATATTTTTATACTTTAGTATTTGTTATTCTATAATACAAGCTTGTATATCATTTGTAAAAATAATCAGAAGTTCATATGCAGATACCTTTAGTTGCTAAAACTTTTTACTTTTAAATTTTGTGCATCTCAAGTTCATTTGAAATAGAATCAAGATGTCCTGTTTTTCCTGTTACACTAGTGGTGGTGGGTTTGCTTCTGTGGCTGCTATGTAGCTTTGCACACAGTTAAATGATAATATAAGATAAAAATATACAATTGCTTTGTTTTGTTTATCATTATTTTCCATTTCCAGGTAGAGAATGAACTCCGTGACATTTGTCAGGATATTTTAGATGTTCTTGATAAACACCTTGTTCCTGTAGCTAATACAGGAGAATCCAAAGTCTTTTACTACAAAATGTGAGTTACTTTTTGTGAGAATTTTGGATTTTAATACTGTAGTTGTCACAGTTTTTTTACCTTACACGAAATATCAGTTACAAGAAGAAAAAAAATGAATCCTTAAAGTTCTGTGCAGTGTTTTAAGATGTGATTTGTTTTCTTTATTTAGTAAATTAATAGATTTTGGAATCTTTATAGTGGCCCTGATACAGTTTAAAGAAAATTATTTGAAGCTATGAAATTAAAAACAAAAGTTACAAGTGAATTATTTTTAATATATTGAAATACAAGGACAATTTCATCTCATTAAGAGTTTTAACTGTAAAAGTCTTTTCAATTACCTCTACTATGACTCTTGACAGGAAACTACACTTAATGCTGAAACTTTTGTCCATATTTTTAACATAGGTAATGTCTAGTGTGATAATATTAACCCTCTCACTATGGTCATTTTTCTGTGCATGTCACAAGGTTTTAGAGAGTTACATTCAAAAATTAATTGAAGTACTTTATTATATTGGTATACAAATAAACTTGGCATCAAAATGTAGCTAATAATCCACATTTTAATATTCTATATAAATTTTAGATTTTTAATTCATAAATATATAAGGAAATATAAAAAAAACTCAGTTTCACCTAGTATGAGAATTGTGACATTTGCTCTTTAGGTATATTCTCTCTCTAATTTATTTACACCCCCCTACCCGAGAAGTATGAAAATTAATGTAAATTACTCATTATAATGTTGTCATCACTCAGGCAAAGCCAAATTTTTATGGTCTTCAATCTTATTTGGTTACAGAACCATAAACTAGAAAATCAGACCTCTCTTGCCATGCTCACCTGTTACATCCTTTCTTTCACAAATTGCCAATAGTTCTTTCTGACATTTAATACTATATTATTTACAACCAAAAGAAAGCCAAGGTTTTAATCTGTCAATTGACATATTATATTACATTATTTTCTGTACAGATAATTGTCTATTTTGCTTCCAGTTCAAACTTTATTCCTATCTGAAACAGATCATCGAGCTTGTCTGAATTTTTAATGGCTCTTGTTGCATAGTTAGAAAATCAGAAAAATTGTGATAGTTATGGGACATTGTCTGCTTTTTGCACATTATTATTGTGTGTTCTTTGGTGCATTAGTTAATTAAATAAAAAAGATTATTTAGTGCAATAGTACCATTAGTATATAAAAAAGGTGGGGTTAAGTTTTATTGACAGTCGACAGCAGAAAACAAGACAACCCAGGCAAGCACTATATTTCTTGTTTTTCATGTGTATTCTTTATTTATTATTGTAAAAGTAACTAAAATGTAAAAATGACAAACTCTTTAGGTTACATTAGGTAAAATAATTCTTTTTTATATTATTATTTTTCACAGGGTATGCTCGCAATTAACCCATGCCTTATGTAATTTGATAGGGTAATTTAAGCTACACATTCATTAAGTGACATATAAATAGTGTGGCAGAAATATTAATTAGACATAGTTCAATGAGCAATAAAACAATAAAATTTAGGTAGAAATAGATGTATATTGTTACAAGTTTAAAGCTATTTTGGATAAATAAATATAGTTTCATGATACAGTTGAAAGTCATTTTAGAAAGAAAAAAAAGGGTAATTTACCTTTTATTTTTTTGTGGTTACGAGATCAGTTAAATTGTCCACTCTCGTATAGAGCTAGCGTAGAGAAAATAACTGATAAAATATAAAGTTTTACTGAAAGAAAAATATTTGGAATTTATTTAGGAGGTTTTAGAGATTATACAAATGAAATTTGAGATTTTTCATGAAGAAAAGCATTTTTAATCTTAACATGAAAATTACTGCACTCAAAGCAATCGACACTCTGACTCTACACATTCATAGAAAAATGTTCATTAAAAATTCTGATTTTTTTTTGTCTACAAAAGATTCCTTGTGATTACTGAAAGCACCAAAAGTAAGTTTCTACTGCTTTTTCACTGTTTTTGTTTCTTTGTACAAGTTTTTGCAAAGCATTTTGAAAGTAAAGGACATGTGCAAGCTACTCGTGGATTGGCTTATTTTCTGTTAGTGTTGATAGCTTAAACATTCATTTGTAGCTAGGGTATAATGATGGGGTATCTTTGAGTATGAGAATTTAAACTTATTAAAAATTTGTGGAATGCATTGGTGATGCAATGTTATTGTAAAAATGTATTAACACAGATGGTGACAATTTAAATATTCCAGCACATTATAGTTTTCAGTGACTGCCATTCATGTGTAACTCAAACATGAATAGGTAGAAATATGGTGTTTTGGGGTTTTTACCCACATATATAACCTTTGGAGTAAAATGTAAAGTACATTATTTCCTCAAAAAAGATCCCATTAAAACTTTAGCTTAGGTAAAGCCAGTTTGCACTGAGAAAATAAAACTTGCTATATTATTGCCTTAGGTGTTAGCAGGGTCTCAAATCAACCTACAAGCATAATATTTGTAATGGCATACATTACAATAATACCTTTGTAAATTAAAAATGTGAAAAATTGGACAATGAAAAAATTATAATCTCTTGCAACAGAGCCTACCTACCATGTAAATTTATTTGTAATTTTTTTTTATACATGGCATTGCATCATGAGTGAGAATATATTGTAATTGATAAGATTGTTTTCAGCTGCTAGAGAATTAATACTGGTGATGGCTATGAAGGTTCAAGATGATGTTTAGGTCCAGCTGTGTAAAGACTTCTATATTTACACTTCTATAAGTACAATTTCTGTAACTCTTTTTTTTTAACACTATGAACAAAACAACAAAATAGTGGGTCAAATATTTACAAATAATAATGCATAACTAAACAGGCAAACATGTAGATATGGAAGTATTACTAAAGCAGCTTATAAAAAAATCTTCAATACAAATTGGCTGAAAGTTGAAACATCATGTAGGTTCAAGTGTAACATTCTCAAACTTTTAATATACTATTGGCACATGTTTTATCATTAGACATATTCTTTTGAATTATTTGTTGAAAAATAATGTGAAGTTCAATCTGCAATGAAAGCTAATTAGTTAATTTCTTATTTAACATTTACTACAGGCTATGTTTACTCTGAAACAAATTGTAGGTTTTAAGTTCACAAATGTTTCAACAGAAATTTGAAATTCTTTACTAATGGTACTTCCACTCAACTTATTTAGCTTTGATCAATAAACATTTCATTCTCTGAACAACTGAATAGCAGAATAGATGTGATAACTCTTAGTGCCTAACACTGAATTGAAACACTCTCATGAATAATTACTGACTCCTTACTTGTGTTTATAATGTAGCATTGTTTCTAGATGTTTCACAAAGTTTCTCAGTTCTCAACATTTATAAATGTTTTAGGTATTCACCATCCTCATCATGATTAGAAGCACCATCTAGCAAAGAACCAAATTATAACATTAAAAATATAGCTTATAATAGTTTGATACTTAGAAGTGCTTTAGAATTAATTGTTTTACAGAATTATTTTTTCCTCCTATTATTGTTAATTAATTGTAGAAGGACTTTCGTACTACAAATTGTATACTGGTGTAGCCTTAATATTGTATGGTAATGATTTCATTAAATTTTGTGAAGTTTATTATAGATTAACTTACTTTGTATTTGTTATCTAAGTACATTAAACTTGTTTGTGTTCTTTTGTTCTTAGGAAAGGGGATTATCACCGTTATCTTGCTGAATTTGCTGCAGGAAATGATAAGAAAGAAGCTGCTGAGAACAGTCTACTAGCTTACAAATCTGCCAGTGATATTGCCAATAGTGAGTTGCCATCAACTCATCCAATTCGGTTGGGTCTTGCCCTTAACTTCTCTGTATTTTACTATGAGATCCTTAATTCGCCTGATAGGGCATGTCGACTGGCTAAAGCTGCATTTGATGATGCTATAGCAGAGCTGGACACACTTAGTGAAGAGAGTTACAAAGATTCAACTTTAATTATGCAGTTGCTGCGGGATAACCTTACCTTGTGGACATCAGACATGCAGCATGATGGTAAGACAGTTTCATGTGTTGTTCTGTCTTCATTGAAATTGATGAACTTTGGAAAATACTTGTTTTGCCAAATTATTTCAAATTTATTACTTGTGTCTTTAACTTCCTAAGCTACTGATTTAATTATATTCCGGTGAAAAAATTATAATTCCTTAAATTCAAAATGTATGAAAATAAAATCTAATGTTATTTTACTTTTTACTCATTTAAAACACCAGAATCAGCACTTAATTTAACATAAAATATGCATAAGTATGTTTGTTTTTTGCTGAAAAACAAATCTCGTGCATTCTGTGAGTTATGTAGAAGAGTAAATCACAATACTTCAAGTCCTATTAAAAGTAGTTATGAAATCAAACAGTAAGTCTGTGTGTGTGAAAAAGAAAGAGAATCCTAAAAGTCAGCTGAGGGACAACCAATATTTAGTGATGCTTGAATTTTTATTTATTTATTCATCTTGAAGTTGATATAAACTTGATGTTATGTTAACCCCAGAATACCAGTTTGGTTAGTTTAGTATACAGGTTTAACTTGTATGGGATCATAGTGACCCTACACTGGCATTCTAGGGTAATAAAGTAAATATTGTAAAAGCATGTAACACAAGCTTTCAGAAGATATACATCAGATAATTCTCTTTTTTGTTTTTTACTTGGTTAATACTAATTTGTGATTTTATTTTTTTAAAGAAAGAAATTGAAGTTTCCAAGAAAAAAATTTTTATTCTATAATTCAAGAATTTTTCATTCTTTCTTGCTTTACAATGGAAGTGGAACTTTTGTTTTATATATAACTTTGTTTGCAGAAAGAATTTCAACAGATAGTAACATATGTGTGATTGCTTTAAAAGGCTAACTTAAGTTGTTCGACTAGCAAAGCTGAGATGGCACATAGAATCTGGTGCTGAATTCCAGCATACTTGGCACTAGAAGATGAGAATGGTGCCACATTCCCCCTGAAGGAGATGCCAGTCCATCACAGGTTAACCCCCCAGCTAAGAGCTATATAGACTGAAACAATTAGTATAAAGGAGATAACAGCATGAAGCGAACCATTGTCAAATTTGCAACTGTTTGAGTACGTGTCCAAAGAGCAAGCCACTGAGCCATGCTGCCTCCAAATCTAAAGTAGCACAATCTAAACTATTTAACTAATTTAGATGTTTTCACTTTAAGTTGAGCATTTGAACAATGTGCAATAAAATCATTGATATTAAATCAGAATATTCTCTCTCAAATAAGATACTTTTTTTGTTTAAAGAATCAAAACTTATACTTAAGAAGTTAAATCTGTCTCATTTGTTGTTGCAGTAATCAAGGCTTTATTATACTCTTCACAGCCAGTTTGTGAACTAAGTGTAAATTATAAACATTTATACCTGAACTAACCCAAATGCTGAATAAAAAATAAGTTTTAGTACAGTGCCCTAGGAAAATATTTTCCCAAAAGTTAATTTTATCTAATAATTTCAAGTTTCATAGTTTTTATCTTTGAAATTATATAATAAACATTAATTTTTTTATTTCCAGATTATTATTTTCAGTTACAAGTTGGAAAATTATTAAAATGCTTGAACAATTAAATAACTTTTTCATCTACCCCCCATTATGCATTAGCTTATGCTTCACTATGCACTAATCATTGTCCCCAAATGCATGAATGAGACTGCAAGGAAGCATCTCAAGAGGTTTCCCATAATGCTTCAAATTAATACTACTTTCTCTTTATGTATGTCTGATATTTTCAAGTCAGTTCAGCTATAAAGAAAAACAATATTGGTGTTTTCCTGGTAATACTCCAAAGAAAAATTTAGGCCTGTGACAAATTATAGCTGTTGCTATGTAACATGAACACTTAAGAGAATGTGAATTTAGCATTTTTGAAGGGGGGCAAGGCAATTTACTCAACATATGTTTCTGAACTTTTAATATTTTATTAAAATATTTAACATAATGGATTTCAAAAAGTTTGAATATAGCACAAATGATCTCTAATATTACCCCATATGTTTACTGATTTGTCAAATGTCCAGCCAGAAAGTCTTGTCTGTATGCTTTTGTTAAACATATTGTAGGTTAATTGTTTTGTCATTTATAGAGAAAGTATTGATGCTTCATGCATTGATGAATGTGGATTTCTGTTTAACTGTTTTTGTTGTTGTACATTATAGGAGAAGGAGAAAATGAACAACAGTCAAAAAAAGAGGAGGTCCAGGATGTTGAAGAACAAGATGTTTCATAAGTCATATTTCAGTGTATGTCTAGATCTGTTGAAAATTACTCATTAACCTAAATATAAAATGCAGATTTGTAATCATTTTAATTATTTTAATTTTCATGTTCAAGTAAGGCCTGATCTTGTGGATAACCAATAGGAGAGTATCCTTTAATTGCTCTTTGTAGCTCCATTTTGGCATGTTCTTTCCTACATGTTATACTCATGTGTTAACCTTCAGCCATGTTTCTTTAGAGCACTGTTGGAATGTCAACAAAAGAATATAAATTTTTAAGTTTCTTTTTTTAATTGTATCATTGTAACTTGCACCATTTAAATTTCATTCTTATTGAGAAGTGCTGTCAAAACTTATTGTGCACTTTGTCATATAAAGTGTGTTGATGGAAACATTACAAAATATATTGTGATTTATTTCGGTGGTTATTTTTTATTCATTTCAAAATTTTTGTCAAAGTGCCTTGCTTCTCTTGGACAAAATTTTAGTTCAAAAACTGTTTATTTTTTATGTAAATTTAAGTTTAATGAATAAATTTTTGAAATAGATTTAACTGATCTCGTGGAGATCAGACCTTGTGTTAATAAAGGAGTAACCAAAATGTAAACTGTGTTTAGATAAATAGTTCTAATAATCACACTGAGAAACTAACATTTAATAAATACATAAATAGTTATAAAAATCAATTTTTAAAGAAATAAGATAAAGTTTAATAGCTTTATAAACAACAAATTTAAAATCTGTTATAGTGACATTTAATTTAATTTTACTCATCAGGCTGTGTTATATTTCAGTGCAAAGAACTGCATGCTTATTAGCATACAAATGCTTTTGATAATTATACTGTAACAAAGAAATGAAGGAAAAGCTAGGAGTTGGAAATGAAACATTCAGTTAAAAATATTAATACAAAATACAAGTATTGGGAAGTAAGATTTATCATCAGTGTTATTTCATAAGATTTCACGATGTGGGTGTTCTGATTTGGGATATAACTTAGCTTGGCATGGATGTAGGTAAGAAACAAATAATACAGTCTGTCAAAATAGATTATCCTCATGTTGGGATGAAAATTTTACTGGGGGTTTTATTGTATAAGTACATTTGACTATATATATAATTGAGTAATGGAAATCATGTCACTTTATCTTAGGTTGAGCTGTGTCTATGTCATAGCTATTTGCGGCAGTAGTTATAATAGTAACCCGATAATTCTTTAAATTAACAAGTAAAAAAAATGTCATCAGTAATTCGTGTTATTTCAATAAAAGAAAATTTGTATTGGACATTTGCTAATTTTAGAGATGTACAAATCAAACAAGGAAATGAACTGGATGTAGTTGTATACATCACTTTTTTTTGTTAGGATACAGTATTAAATTTTACTGTAGCAGTAGAGTGTTGATAATTTGACACAGAAGTAGTGTCATGGGAGTACTGACTGTTGCAATTTTACACATGGTGTATAATACAAGAGACAACATTGTCAGAACCTTTTATTTGCTCTGACATCTGATAATAGTTTTTTTTATATGCATATTTTTTGTACAATTTCTCTTTCAAACAGCCTACTTCCTCTGTTACCAGTATCATAAGAATGGTACATTCAGTAATTGTTCTCACACCTCTAATAGAACCGACTCACTGAATAGATAATGAGGCATGATTTAACTGGCAGGAATTTTTACACTTAGCTCAGCTACATTGTATATTATAACTTGTATTTTCTCTTTTATAACAGTTTTAATGAAGAAAAGTTATGGAATTCAAGCATTTTATTTTCCTGTGATTTCTAATGCAAAATATAAATTGTTCTACCTTAAGAAAAATATTTTGCACCCTTTCCTCGAATAAACCAGAAGATTCTGTCATGATGCTATAAAACCTAGAGATTAAAGGAAACAAGAAGAAACATTTCTCATTACTGAGTAATTTTAAATTTCTTGTCATGCTCATGTCATTTAGATAAACTGGAACTTCCATGATGGAAATAGTCTTTATTCTCAGTGTGTTTATTTCTAGACATAAACCATTACAATGTTGGTTTGGTCATTTGACATGTAGCAATTATTTTAATGGCTCTGTTAGAAATAGCATTCTGCTTGAGACAAACCAAAAATAGGTTTTTACTGAAAACATCTTTGCAAGATCAAATTTCTGAAGTACTGTATACATAATGAATCCTCTGTGAAAATAGTGTTTACACAGAGAGCTTCTTCTTTAACCAATTTATTCAGGGAGGTGTCTTTGTGCTTCTGAACATCTTTCTTTGTATCTTGGTGCAAAATTGGCCATACAGTTTGTCTGATATTATATTTATCTTTTCAAGTTGGCATTTATAACAACGGTGCTCTTGGGGAATTTTTCTGTCATAACAAAGTATATTGATATATTTTACCAAAGTATTACAATTTAAATTCTATTTCTTGCACTTTATGATGAACCAAATTGTTCCCTTTTATTCTTATACACGATTTTTTTAAGCATTTGTCAAGTCAAACCCATGTTAATAAAAGTTCCTTTTGTATTGTATATTTACATGCAAAAAACATTCCTGTCATCTTGGAACTTTCTCTTCAGCATATTTATACATTTTCTGTTCATTTCTCAAATAAAGATATTAGTTAACAAGGATAGAATGTACTGAATATCGTGTTCTGCTCTCCTCTAGTTCTTAAAAATTGTGAACTCTTCTTGTGTTGCTGCTATACACTGTTATTAAATTTATTGATGTAGAGTTAGTGATTTGTCTTAGTCATTGATATTTGCAAAATCTTGTGAGAGAGGTACTATGCTAATAAAATATTTCTTATTCTATGGTGATGTTGGTTACACAGGCTGTTTGTTCTGGTCACCAACCAAATAAAACGTTTCCAAAAAATTCATGAAAGCTTTTAATAATTAGCATAGTATTTGTTTCTTAATTATCAGAGTTTTCTTACTTTGCTATGAAAATTTTCTAATTTTGTTTGGGAGGAGTGGGGGGGGAATGGGTACTTGTATATTGATAAGATGTCCTGGTTAAATTATTGTGATGTGGAATCAGAAAATTGTTTCTTTTGCTTACTTTATATCTAAATCTTTTTCTAGCTCTGGCTTAAGAGTTCATGTTCTGTGTATACTGTAGGTGGTGTTTTTCTGTGAATATGACAGCTTCAAATACAGTAAATTCTGTATACGTCACTATCTTTCTATAGAAAAATCTATTTGGACATTTTAGCCACCACCATTGTTAGAAATAATAAATTACTTCTAGTTTAGTCATGTCACATTGCATGCATTAGTCTCCCTTTCTAGAAATGTGCTGCTAGAATTAATCTATTGGAAGATAGTCACAAACCATTTCATTTGTTTTCATGTAATTGTTTTTTTGCCAGTATTCTCACATAATGGCATATTTTTTAGCAAAATTCTTGCTGTTAATTGTCATTCTTGAATAAATAATTAGTCAACTAAACTTTTTGTGTGGTATCTTAGTAGTTTGTACTATATGTTTTCTGTGTTTACATACAGTTAGTATTTCATACTCTGCTTCACTGAATTACACATGCTGAATTAAAATTATAATTATTCAACACATTTTAACTTAGAATGTAAAAAAAAATTGTTTTGATATTGCAATACATCATCATGCAGTTGTTAGGTATTTAATTACTCTAAACTGCTATTCTTAAATTCTTCTAGATATAGCTTAAAATTAAAGTTGTTGTAGAGGTATTGTGTGGTATGTAAAAAAAAGTCCTTTTTTTAACTGATTAGGTTTTTTTATACAAAGGAACAACCTGTTCTTAAGGCACTGTTTTTTTACAAATATTCAAACATTTTATAAGATTGTGACCAAATGCTTATCACAGTAAATGTTTTTTTTTGGGGGGAAGAGACAATTATACAAGTTTAAGGATAAATTAGACTGCTTTCAACATTTGAAGGGTTTAAACATGTTATGTAAATGTCATTTCTTCTGTGTGTTACCATCGTTTATCCTTACAAAGCATTACTGAACATATCAGTGTAATTTTCATCGGAATTTGGTCTACAGTTTTTATTTTAAATGTACTATAAATTAAAATGCACATTAATATGATAAATCAATGTTATTGTACAGTAATGATAAATCTCATTATTCTGAGTCTTAACCATAATTGCATCAATTTTGTAAATTATTTTCATTATTAGTTTACACAAAAATTGAGTACAGGAATCATAAATGATTATAACTTGGAACTATGCATTTGTAAATGATGTGTTGCTTGTTTAACAAAAATATGGACCTGAGATCATCTGCTCTGCATTAAAGATTAAACAAATACTTGTATTTTATTTAATTACAAAAAATATTTTCTTTTTTAGCTTGCCAGGAGCTAGAATCAAATTGGAAGATTTCTAATAACCTTACTAATTAATATGATAATGAATAATACTTAGGAATCCATAGTGTGTCATCATGACTACAAAACATAAATTTTGCAAGTTTATAGATGGAAGTTACTCTAGTTTTAAATTTTCAGTAAGCATATTTTTTGTCTATTCTGTACAATTACCAATGTGTGAATCTTGGCAGAAAATGTAGGGAAATATGTTAAAAAAGAATTGTGTAATTTGTTTATAAACAATATTAATGGATGTTTCTTTAGTGTTAATATTTCTAAAGTCAAACAAGAATTTTCTTTGTATTTAAGTTTAGTATTTAAACAAAAAAAACGTACAAGTTCTGTAATTAAATTGTGTATCTCATGTTCAACAATAAATTTTTCTACAAATTAAAATATGATGAAAACCACTAAGGGGAAAAAGTTTTAAAGCAATTTATTATATTTTTACCATAGTATAGTTACATGTTAATCACTTTACTTTTCATTGATAATGTAAGGTTAGAAAGTTCAAGGATCAGTTTAAATAATAAAATATATTGTACACTGAAAATAAAAAGTGAAAAGGTTTAGGATAAAAAATACAAAAAAGAAAACAGTGGGTTAAACAAATTTTAAAAAAAGCTTTCTGGCAGAAATTAAGGCTATTTAAAAATATTTCTTTATCATCTGTCTGAACTACAGTATGAATTTTGTAGTTTCTCAAATTAACAATCAAAAATTAATGCATATGATACCTAAGGGCTAAACCTTTTTTTATATCAATATTAGTAACAAGACAAACATTCAATGTTGTGGTCATTTGTTTGCACAATAAAACAGAGTTTTCTCAGAGAGAAATTTTTGACGTATAGAAACATGGCTGTGTTAAGTAAGATATGTGTTATAGGTTTTTCACACTAGTCACAAAACATTTTACTGAAATAACGTTGATACAGCATGTTTCATTGTAACTGGTTCCGAGCATATTTGAAACATACCACAATCTATCTTTAAATAAATTACCAACTCTACATAGCTTGAACTGTGGTTAACTCCAGGAAAATGTGCCCATTAGTCAGAAAATATTGCAAAGGGTGATTGGATGAGATCTTTTGTATTTATGCAATGAGAATGATGTTTGAATATGAAGAAACAAAATTCTAGAAATTTGGAGTTGGCAATGATATATAAGATGGTTGTAGAAAACGTACAAGGAAAATGCATCATTGCAGAAAATTGCCAAGTAACTAGGATCGGATGACTACTCAAAAACAACAGATCAATGCACATTAAAGTTGCATAATCTTATAGTAGAATTAAGGAAAACAAGATACTATAACAACCCTATAAGCTCTGCATCTCAAACACGTTTTCTATGATGAATTGGATGCAATATAAGGGAAAAAGTCCTGTTCATCACTACAGAATTTGGACAATTATAATTACTACTCTTTCATTGAATGTACAGAATCGCCTAATAATAAAAGATTCTACACCATTGATTGGTATGGTAAAAGTGTGCCAATACTGACTTTAATTATACACAGTTGAGTTTACAAACATTCATTTCTGGGAAATGCTGAAGGCAAATAATAGGAATGTAGGAACTGTCTATTGCACTAACAGCTTGAGTAGTTGAAAAAATTGTTACATATATTAAATAAATTTTCAGTAAAACTAAATTGTAATGTTATTAAAAAATTACTTTTTGTTTGAATTACTAATTGAATAAAGCATTTAACACTTTCAACAAAAGCCAACCTGGTATCTTGACATGATTCCAAAAAAAAAAAGGTAATTCTGGAAAGGTTTGGGATATTTTGATTATACAAAAAGAAAATGTTTGGCACTATTTTTGAGGTCTAGGTCACTGGACCAGACCCGATACTATAACAGCCAACATGGAGAAGTTGACTTGTAAAGCAATGAAACATGCTTGTAATGTTCTAGATGTGGTTGTGAATATGATGGCTTAAGTGTAGTCCAGGTCAGATGAGGGAAGAACTTATTGAAAGATATCCTGATCTATTACTACATCGACAGTGAAATATAAAACAAGAGGCATGATAATATCTTCTTCTAGAAAGTGGATTGGAATCATAAGTTTTAATATTTTGTTAAACTAACGACAACATAACGCCTGAAGATGCAGTGTTGGAGTTAAAAGAAAGTCCACGATGCATTACAATATGATTTCTCTAGCAATTCTCAAATCAAAAATACCATTTCTGTTATGAATAGTAAATATAAGAAGGATGGCATATTTCCCAGTATGGTAACACCATCATATAATCCATACAAATTTCATCATGTCATATTTTTATTAATATTTAGTTTTTCATGTTAGAAATTGTGCTGAGCTTCTGTTGTCCAGATCTGTTGAAATAACTGTAAATCACCAGCTACCATTATGGCCCCTCTTTTGACCATACCAGGATTGGTACTAAAAATGCTAGGCTGGCTTGTGTGGCAGATGCTAAAAAAAATTCTTTGTCTTTCTTATTTTTTTGCTTCAAAATTACTCCTTGGGAACTCAAAGCATAGTAGTAATTAGGTGCAGTATCATGTCTTTAGTTGTTTTTTTTTATTTAAAAAAAACTTATTTCTCTACAAAACACAAAGTTAAAGCACTTTAACTCTTGCAAGTTCACTATGTATATGGTTACCTGTGGAAATCCACAGATTGTTCAAAGACTCTCATTCAAGAATATAAATTCATTCTTATGTCATAGTTTTTTTTATTCCAATGCAAAATTCAGACAGTTCCAGAAACTCTTGATTTTTTTCAACAGTAACACAGGTAAGTCAACACCAGTTCCTAATCTTCTCAAATAAATAACATTTTAAAAACTGATATTGGATAATGATAGTTTGTAACCTTTTTTTGAAAGGGTGTGCTCAAGTTTTTAACATAAAAATTGAAGGTACTTGTGTAAGTTCTGTCAGTCACAATTACACAAAGTGTCACTAATAAACTCCCAATATAATATTAGGGTAAGAAAACTTAATATTTCAAATCATTTGGTTAATTAAGAATGACTTAATTCTCTTCTTTATTCCTTGCAAGTTCTCTATGTCAGTGGTAGAAATCTGTTTGTTTGTTTTTTACCAGTAAAATAATGATCATTTCTGCTTTCTTAACACTTTTCTCTCAGTGACTGCAAACCTTCAACCCCTGGTGAAGATTTTAGAGCTCTTTGTTAAAATAATAACTTTTTACATATCCATGCAAAAAAATTAAATTCTAAATCATAAGATCTATGTAAACAGAGTAACCACATTTCATTTAAATGGATAGTAATTAACAACCTTATTTGAACTGGTTATCACGGTGTGGACAGAAAATGTTGGAAGTCATGCTGAACTACACATGAAGTGACAGCATGGCTATAGGTGGGTGTGGCCTCACCTTTTCAGCTGCTTTCCACATGCTGTTTTATAATCCCAAATCTGTGTATAAATATGTTCAAATTACTTTATAACTTACTTGGTTTAATAATAAGAAATTGAATAATATGAAAAGTAAAAGGCACCTACTTATTATTTGTATGATTATTATTATTAACCCACCACTGGTAATTATGTCCCTGCAAATATGTTTACTTAAACCTTCTTTAAACTGGTTTGTGATTGATGTAAGTGCCACATTGGTCTATAGATGTTTTTTTTATTCACACTTGACTAAATGTACTTGTAAAAATAAACTGTACTCTATTTTTATTCCTACAGAAACCATAACAATCACTTTCAAAGTTATTTTTCTATGTACAGCTTTTGTTTTTAATGAATCAAGAAATATGCACCCAAAAAGCTTTTAAAGACTTTAACCCTGCATCTAAATCTCTTAAATAATAATTATTTTGTGTCTTTTTATAATTATAATAACAACTAGTGTTTAGAGAAAAAAAAAGTGAAAAATAGAAAATTATCATTGGATAAAACAATTAGGTTTCAAAACTGAAACCTATTAACACTATCAACAAAGAAAGCAACAGTACAACCATAGTCATCAACACCCTGCTTACTTCATAATAAAGCTATATCACAAAACGTCTTTTATTACTACTTCAAAACCATTAACCCTGGAACTACCAAGCAGATTTTGTAACTTCTCTTACCACCTGGGTTGAGTGAATCCAGTACTTAATTAAGATATAAAAAAGTGAGATAAAAAAAAAAGTAAAAATGGTTATAAATCACTTTATTGTTGTATTTATTGTATCATTTTGTTTATTTGTGTAGACTGGATCATTTAGGCCCAGTTGTTAGTTTCTGGGTTACTTCAAAAATAAAAACATTCTTAAGGTGAGACAATAATACATACCAGAACATTCTGTGGAAAAATATACTAAATACAACTATAATAGTGGGATATAAAAACAACAAGCTATTATACACATTTACACTTTGACAATTTACTCCTAGAAATCATTTATAAAACCCAACCAACTTTTTAACGAAATATTAAATATGCAAGTATATTTTGCAAATAATGTTAGCAGTAATCCTGTATAAGGATTGGCCATTAAATATTTATTAACAGAGAAGTAGATTGCCCCTGAAGAAGAAAGTGCTCAGGTTTTTATTCATTTATATCAAGATTTCTTTAACCTACGTGTTTTTCTAGCATCAAAACTGAAGGGATAGTAATGTGATGTAAATAAATTAAGAACATATTCACACTCAGACCTGCATAATATACTCTTAAGGATACTGTGACCATGATGCCAAAGACTTTCCAATGACAAATTTGGTGAAATGTAACCCAAAATTTAATTTTAAAATAGTTAGAAAAATCTCAGTAAACAAGTCGAAGCAACTGCAACTGAATGTAGGTGGATTAATAATTGGTCACAAGGTATAAAAAATACCTTTTCTAAGAGTCCCTGAAAGATTTAGTACATGCTAAGTAATGATATCCAGAACATTTCACAGAATAAAAATCAGAATCAGTCAAGGCAGGTAAGAATATGTGAGAAACAGCAATTATCTTCACTCGCAGCTCAAGCTTTAGGTATGAAGGTTCAATCTAGATATATGGCCTTTCAAGAACCATGTAGGTAAAGCTTCAGGGTCATAGAGATCAGTAGGTCTTCTGCCCAATGCAAATAATATAATAAAATAGGATTTGAGGAAAAGATTATTGCTAAGGGTTCAAAAGAGGGAGAAGCCAAGAAATGCAACGAACATACTTCAGAATTTATAGTGAGTAAAGTTAACAGAATGACTGTCAACAATATTTGGATTATGGTGAGAAAACTGAGCTTGCATGTACATCCTTCTAACACAGATACAGCAATTCATGTGGTACAGTGGAAAACTCTGGGTAAGTTGATGCATACTCTGGATTATGTCAAGGACATTTAAGAACTTTAGTTACATGGTTATTTAACAACATGAGAGTAACTCAACATGGAAATGCTTTTCATATTTCAGAAGTAAGTCTGCCCTTTTTAAAAAATACATTAAAATATATCACTGTTCGACACCAAGTCCAATGAACTGCTGACTGAGGAAATGGATAGTTCAGATAATAGTTAAGTTTTTCAGTATATATCTATGTAAAATGCTTATTGAAATCAGTAGTAAATGTGACATTATGCACAAACTTAAGGTAAGACAGTGTTAACTGTCCTAAATATATTGGAAAGTTAAAGTAAGGGAAACAAAAATATCTGTACTTTAAGTGTTGAAAGTGTTGTAATTTTTCTATTGCTTTTCGTAAGTTCTACTTTCATGGATATACCATATACTGTTTATATACCAACAATATTGAAACTGTGATGTATTTATCATTACACATGGCATTATGGGTGTCCATAATATCCCTTACTGTGGGGATGTTTTGGATAGTTGACAGACCACTTGAAACCAAATTCCTCAGAAATTTGGGTCTGAAAAAGTTATATTCAAAATATGTCACTATAGCACTGCATAATTAAAATGTCCAAACCATCCCCACTCTCCCCTAATCTACTATCTGTCAATCTATGCAGCTATATTGATGTGTTAGATAAGTATGCTCATTTTAATATATGACTGTTAATGTGCATTATCTCTAATTTTCGGACTGATTTACCATTGTAGAAAAGTGAGCATACTGAAGTATGTTAAAAGACAGTTCCTTGAACTTGATGGAGAAGAAGGAAATTATGAAAACACTCAGGCAGTAAAGAAGGCTAAATTACTTGTCATTCAGCGGTTGCACCTGATACTGCTTCTACAAGTGATAACATTTCAAAAGAAATTCAGATCTTCCAGAATGCTGGTCACATACATACTTAATCAGAAAAAAAAAGAATATCCTTGACTAATTGTGAAAAGTGGAAAACTAGGATGCAGTGTATGCAGCAACACTGGTCACCTTGGACTTGAATGAACACGGGGAATACGTTTGTCTCGTGTGTAGTGCAGTGTTGATGTGGGAGTGAGATGTGACAAAGCAAAGCAGTTAACAAGTTTAAGACAAGATTTTTAAGCACAAAAACAGTGAAGCTCGTGATAAAAAGTACTTAGTGTACGAGTCAGTTAACAAGGATGAAGGAAAACAAGTAGAGCTTTTGGAACTGTGTATAATATGCATGCCAAATGCTGAGATGTATTATGATATTGAACTACAAGAAAGAAATGACCTTGACTTAGGACATGTTCTACACTCTCGCAAGTCATGTGCAGATATTGCACACTACATAGGGAAGCAAATGCAAGAAACAGCAGTGAAAAATATAATTTCAAAACAATCTGAAATGTCTGTCATGATTGATGAATCTACCACTATTAATGGTAGTGTGCTTGAGAGCAGCAGTTGGCAAATCTCCCCATCCTATGTCATTTTATTTTGAATTAGAGCATATGAATAATGGTCTTCTGAATTGCTTGCAAAGTGCTGGTTTTTCAGTGTAGTACCTGAAAGAAAATTTAATTTCACTTATAACTGATTTAACATCAGTAATGCTGGGACGAAAATCAGGGGTTGTAAAACTATTTTTTGATGACTTTCCTTATGCAACTGTCTGGCACTGTTCCAGTCACAGGCTTCAACTTAGTATGAGTGATGCAGTAAATGAAGTTGCAGGCTTGAAACATTTACAGGTTTTTGTGATAAATTGTATTCCCTGTATCATAGGTCACCTACTAAGAATCAAGACGAGCAAACTGCCTGTGCTGAGTCTCCTCACTGTCAGCTGCTGAAAATTGGTCGTGTGTTCAGTGTAAGATGGGTTGCTTTGTCTTATCGAACTGTAAAAGCAATATGGCAGTTTTACGAAGCTCTTTGGGAGCATTTTAGTAGAGATGTTTCAAAATCTAGTGTAGAAAAAGCAAAGTATGAAGGGTTGAAGAATATACTGTAATCGTCAGCTTTCATGGGTAATTTGGGCTTGTTGATGGACACTTTGCTAGAGCTGTCTGAACATTCACTTGAGCTACAGAACCAAAATTGTTCACTTAGTAAAGCACATGCAGAAATAAACCAAACTCTCATGGGTCTTGAAGGACAGATAGAGAAACCAGGAACATTTTGTACTGAAACTCAGAAGAAAACTGGTATAAATTTAAGTACCTGCTATACACTAACAACAGTTTTTAAGGAGCTTGATTAATAATATGAAATCAGGGTTGCTTCAAGTAACATCACTTTCTGCAGACAAATGTAAAACACTGATTATCTAGTCAAAATATTTAGATATTAACAATACGCCAGAGGATGCGAGTTTTACATATGGCAATAGTAATATCGAAGAAATGGTGGGCTATGTGTCAGAACCTACAGAAAATTTAAGAACTCAAAAGGGAAAACACTTTCTGCACACCTTTAGCAGTTGCAAAGAGCTGTAAATACAATTCCAGTGTCAATGGCTGAATGTGAAAGAAGCATCAGTGAAATGAGTTTGTCTGTGTCACCACAATGGGCACAACTTCAAACTGATCATCTTTCAACTCTCCTCTTTATCAAGTCAGTGGGACCTCTTCTGTCAAAATTCAACCCTGAGGAATATGTAAAGACATGGCATCAGATAGCATGCTGAAGAAACTGTGTGTAAAAAGAAAAAAATACGGACTACATCCCATTATGGAAAATTCTGTGATGTGAACCTGTATGTTATGATTCTCAAATCTCAATGAAGTGGTAAATCAATATATACTTATACATGTATGCGCACATATATATATATAAATATATATATATTAATGTACACATATCTCTCATCTACTAAAAATTTCACAAGACCTTTTTTTATACTTATCACCCCACTGCTCCTTTAAACGTGTACCTAGTTCCTAAAACCCATTTTCTTTCTTGCCTGCAATCCCCAGATTACAAATCAAGTGCTCTAACCACCAGACCATGCTAGACCTGTAAAGTGAGATGCCAAATATTAAAAGTTTCTTTTCAGTTTAATTTTGGTAAGTTAAACTTTCAGATTGAATACTTCCAACACTTACAGTCATACATTAGATCCAATGTCACCATCCATCATACAGAAGATTTTGCAGATCTAATGTCTCCACCACATACATCAAGCTCACGTTTCAAACATCATCTCACAACAAATCAAAAGGTCCTGCTTTTACCAAGTAATATTTCAAAGAAGTAAAATAGTTGTCTACACATCAACATAAAGGGAAACATACATTCAACAATGGTGAAAACAATTATTTTGGCACAAACACAATTATGTATTGTACTGTGCAACTTTTGTACAACAAATAATTCAAATTTGTTTATTTAAACAAAAACCAATAATAATTGTATGTTTGTATAAGACCTGATTTGTAGACATAGTGACCCAAAGAAAAACATGCACATAATTTAGTGTATTTTTTTTTTTTTACAAGTTGCCTTCTTTTGTTATTAAGAAAAATAAAAAAGGAAATATCATCTTATAACACTTTTGATATGTTAAATATATAGCTTGTTTGTGTTCTTGTTTTTTGTTGCTTTGTTAACACATAGTCCACATTCTGACAGTATTCTGAGGTGTGGCATATTTCTAATTTTTATACTAATATATTTATTCTATTTGCTAAGTGGCCTAGCAAATGGCTACTAAAACTTATTACAGTATACTCTCACAAAAGCAAACAAAACAAATCATAAAGAGTTAATTTATTGTATTTCTTCATCACTGTCATGAGTTCCACTCAGAAGCTCTTCCATTTCTATTGAACTTGCTCCCGTTTCCTTTTTGGTTCTCCATTTCTGTCGTCTTTTCAGCCACCTCAAGAACTTTAATTTTGCCCCTAAAGCTTCTGGATAGAAAGCAGAAATAAGAACTATACATCACTTTCTTCATACTGGAAAAGATGGGATGAAATAAGTAAAAGACAATATATACTGACACTAGCATAATCTTCAAGCAGAGATACTTCAGTGTTTGTATCTAATATGTACATTATTTTACGACAACAGGAACAAGTGAAAATGTTTTTATAAAAATTTTACCCTTTATTAGCAATTCTTTGTGGTCATTTATAAAACATTTGTTTGTTCATAAAATTACTTAAGATACTGAAGACATCTTTTGAGAATGATTTTTCAAAAAATACATAATAAAAGGCAAATTTATTAAATGTTTTACTTATAAACTTTAACTCTTTATATTTAAGTTTTGTAGCTTTCGATGCTAATATTTGAATCAATTTGCCAAATACTCCTCATTTGTTTCCATTTAAATTTGGTGTCCTATATTTAGATCTGGGCAATTTAATCCATTAGCTGTGAGAAATTAGCATTTCCAGATATTACATTTTTTCAAATTATTTCAACAAACAATTAATTGGAGTTATTATCAAATCAATTATTGAAAAATAATCAATTAACTGAAATTAGCTATCCAATTATTCTAACAATTGCTTAAATCCATTGATCAAAATTAGGGTTTCTGATTATTACTATTTTCCATTATTCCAAGTACAAAATATTGCTATACTATTTGTTTGCTGTTAAGTGCAAAGCTACATAATGGGCTACCTGCACTCTACCGAAATTTAGCCATAAAAGTTTTTTTTAGCTTTGGCAATTTAGAGAGGGGGGGATTTTAAGGGTCTTAGGTTTGATTCGCATTGCAACCAAATTTGCTCACTCTGTCTTTGTTATGACAAAACTATTAAGTTATCTGCTGTTGTTACTATTTGGAACTGCTGATTAGAGGAAAGGCAACTGCCACCAACTTTTTGTTGTTTTTTTTTTTGCTTGCTTGTACACACTATGACCTGAGGAATACTATACTAATCATATCATGGGGGCAAATACTACCAATTCCCTGTATATAAACAAAGTATACATTTTTATTGGAAAATACAGAAAATAATTATTTGAGATTTATATTGCTTTTTTAGTCACACACACTATGTATATATAATTTGTATCTTTCAGATCTCTAGATTTAAGTTAAATATTTGATGTTCTTGAAAGGGAAGAGAAATTTTGAGGAAATTTTCATTGAGACTCCAAAACCTCAAGAAGAAACAGATGAGTAATCAGCTGATAAACAATCTAAATAGAAACTTATTGAATGGGAGAGCATATGCTGTTACACCCTCAGGAGAAATAGGAGCAATTATTTGTTACATCAGTGAATTTCAATGTGTAAGTGATCAACCTGGCTCAAATAAAAGTCCTATAGTGTCTCAAAAAGAAATTGTTTCCTGTCCTATAAATTGATGAAGATGGCTAAGCCAACTGGTGGATGTAACTGTTCATGATGAACCAAGGACCCAAGAGGAGTTTTTCTGAAATGTTTGAATTTCTTTTATAATCCTATTCTCCAAGAAATTAAGAAAGCAAACGATATAATCATGGTGAATAGAAAGTATTTGGTGCTACTATAGTGTGCAGTCTACAAAAATATTTACACTAAAGTGTGCAGGCTACACAGATACCATCATCATCATCACTGTTTTAATGATTCACTAAAACATAATTTCTTGCTGAATAATTTATATCTACCCACATTTTTGTTCAGCAAATAATAATTTAATAAGTTGTGTGTTACAAAAGTATACCTTAAATTTATGTTATAATTGTTTTAATTTTGATTGTTGAAATTTATTTCATTCCAATTACATTTGCGCCAAAAATGTTATGTAATTATATTTTGTACTTTATTAGTTTACAAGCATTATTTATAATAAATGGCACCAATTGCAAATAAAAAAACAGTGATGATAGTATATGTGTAGAGTGTACACTATAATGTAAATATCTTTGTAGACTGCACACTATAGTACCACAAAGAATTTAATGTTACTATCAATGAATTAAGGATGAATACAGCAATATTTCTGTTGTCAGGATATAATCGACATCTATCTAAATGAATGTACTGGGAAACTGAGAAAGATGTTAATCTTAATCTTGTTGCTAAATTCATGTTACATGACAGGTTTGAGGAGATATAAAGCATTTGCAAAAATGGATAAGAACTTCATGCTAAATTTGATAAAAATCCACAAAACTATGATATTATAAGCATAAATAAATATTTAAAAATGAATAAAAAAATAATTGACATGTTTTGATTGGTACGAAAAATATTCACTGTTTCCCAATTATTTATAAAAAAAAACGTATTATAAAATAATGGAAACAATACGTATGTCATAAACATGCACAGGCTTTCCATTAACTGCTTTTGTAGGCTGTTAGTTCATTTACAAGGCGCTGGTTAGGCCTCTTTGGAATGATGTGTTCACTTTTTATCACCTTATTCAAGAAACAATGTTGAGCTGTTTCAAAGGGTTCAGAGAAGAACTAAAAGGGGTTACCATATGGGCTACGATTAAATCTCTTTGACAAAATTTTGCAAGAAAATGGCTGGAAGTGGAGGCACAATTGATCTTTTAAAAATTGTTAGAGGTTTGAAATAAATAAATTCTGATGATAAAAAAATAAAAGCTCTACAACCAGTAAAAATAGAAAATACAATTTGAAGATAAAGAAAACTGACAAAAGTCTTGGTGAGGCAGTATACTTTACTGATACTGTGGAATAATTCAGGGTGGACGGGACTTCAACACTAAAGATGTTTGAGAGGAGACTGAATGAATATTTTAAAGATCAGGATTGGATAAAGGAAAAAAAGAGGGTTTCAATACGTAGTTTGCAGTAAGGTGGTAGTGGAAAATGACAGCTTATAGGTAGATAAGTCAAATACCCCCACCCCCTTATTAATCTTTGGGAAAGATTTTGTTTGTAATTAAGTACAAAGCTACACAATGGGCTATCTGTGCTGTACCCACCACGAGTATCGAAACCTCGCTTTTAGAGTTGTAAGTCCACAGTCATACTGCTGAGCCAAATGGGGGGGCCTTGGGAAAGAAATGAAACATTTACTTGCACAAGATGAGAACATATTTTTTCATAATAATTAATGGAAATTCACCATAACTTTTTAAACCAACATAATAAAAATGTTCTTTTATTAAAAAGTACTCAACCATTTAGTTTATTATGGAGAAAAAATCAAGTTAAATTAGCTCAACAATCAGAAAGCTTAAGAAATCAGATGGGAGATGTTGATAGAAATCAAACACTGGAGCACATCCTGCAATAAATAAGTGCAAAATATACCAAATGTGATTTAAGCCTGGTTGTAAGACCATTTCTCCATGTCATTTTCTAACAATACAGTAGAAAAACAAAAAGCCTAGTAGATGATGTGGACTGGGTAAGATTAACATTCCAAAACTAATTTAAATCTAAATCACAAATTGTTTTATCTTCAAAATTGATATAAAATTGACTTTTCTGAATTCTTTAATTATTCCAGAAAGTAAATTTTTTCTTACATTATAAAGTATTGAAGCTATTTAACATGCAAAATACATAATATATTTATATATATAACTATATTACTATAACTGACTGAGTAATTTTATATCAAATGTGATATTCACAATTACAAAGTCAATACTAGCAACAAAGATGAGGAAACATTACAAAAAAAGCATCATCACAATAAACAAAATCTTTTGTTGTTTTTTTAACTTTGAACGTCATATTTACATTGTTAGGAATTGGACTTTATGGAAATCTTTCTTCTGAGACTGTTTTATTTGTTAGTGCAATGTTTATTTATCACAAGTTATATACAGAAAATATTTTATCACTAAAAAGTAATCACACATAAACAAGGCCAGATTTAGGTATAATTGGTTCCGGAACAGAACCCCCACCATGTCAGACAGCTAGTTATAAAAATCAGTCTTCCACCATAACGTTAATAAACCTTTCATTGACCAGTTGCTCACATTCATTGTTGTAATTAATTAATCTTTAAGGGATTTAAAACCAAACATTTAACAGTCTTGACATTTTTTCAAGCAGCCATCTTTCACTGACTTGCTTTCCCATTTTTCCTTTTAGTCTCTCTCTCTCTCTCCGTCTTTCTGCTCCTTCTTAACCAATAAGAGATACTAGCTATTTAGCTAGCATGATCACGGGGCAAGTTAATTCCATTTCAAATGCTGAAACAGTGCTTTAAAATATATATATATATATATATATATGTATGTATGTATATATATAACCTAGTACTGTAACGCCCCTCGAGTACGACCCAACGG